AAACTGTAGGGAACATGAAAGAAAGCAAAGGGGGCAGAAGGACCAAAAAGCTGATGACAGAGAGGACAGTGGACAGGAAACAGGAAGAAGAATAAACAAGAGAAAAATAAAAGGGAGGATACTGCCGTGAGATTTCACGTTAACAGTAACTAAAGGTCACGTTTGCAGCATCATGCACACGTTTCCTTTATTCACCTCAACCCTTAAATCTCTTCCCTCATGCTTCTCTGTCCTACTCTTCCTCCTCCAGGTGATTTATGACCTTGGCGTCTCTTTCCGGGTCATCATGTGGGTCTGGAGTGGAATGGCCTGCACTGTGATCCTAAACTGCTTCCTGAACTGGCCCACTGAATCTTTCCCTGCACCCGAAGACATCAGATACACGTCAGTGTTAACAGAATAGACGAATTAACACTGGAAACTGTGTCAGACGTTTAAAAGTAGAATACAGTCTAATGATGAGACAGTTGTGATCAGTATGATCACAGAGGTACCAGTTTGGGGTGATTCTCCCTGAGAGATTTCTCCAGGGAAGACACAAAAACCTGACTGCAGGATGCAGAAGAGAGAGCGCTGAGAGTCGACTAAAGCTCACAATGCAAAGAGACATGAACAGAACACAGAGAACAGAAGAGAGACAACAACACCTAGGACAGCTGTGCACAGATGCTCAGAGGACAGAGTCATTGCAGTCGGTTAGGCTTTCTATCTGCTCCAATGCTAGAGAGGAGGCTATAAATCACTGCCTTCAGACTAATATAGATATTGACGAGGGAATTGCTCCTCGTGTTGTGACTTCATGTTACCCACTCAGCTGTCACGAGGCTTCATGATGAACCTTTCCCATGTGTTCTGATTTTTACAGATTCAGTAAAGTGAGCTGCGATTTCTGGCACTTTTTATGAGCATTTCCAAAAGTCTTCAACTTAAAACATCTTTGAAATAGTGGGAATTGCGCATTATGACTCTTCCCATTACATTTTTTTTTTTTTTTCCTCTTAACAGTAAAAGGGTGAAGATAAGTGGGGTTGTGACAGAGGACAGCCTGACCGGGGACAGGAACATCACCCACATGACTGCAATGGAAGACACAATGGGATCCAGACAGACAGTACCTGAGCACACAGACCCCCACAGCACAGCCCAAGGTATTTGTTTTGTTTTTTGGCTTTAGTTTAAGTTGAGCTTGCTGCCAACACTCTCAGTGATTTTATTCTCAAAAAGTCAAGCTCCCATCTTCTGAGCGGTCATCAATGGCTCCCTTGCCTTTGATGACGGTTAAGTGTTGCCCCGAGTCCAGAAAAACACCATCAGGGTCTCGTTCACGAGGGGAGAGTCGACCAGTGGTTGACAGACCAATGGTCCACCACCCCAAAGCACTTTACACTACATTCAGACACTGGTGATGGCAAGCCACACTGCAGCCACACCTGCCGGACACTGGCGCCACCGGGCCCTCTGACCACCACCAGTAGGCAAACGGTGAAGTGTCTTGCCCAAGGACACAACGACCGAGACTGTCGGAGCTGGCAAGCTACATTATAGCCACAGCTGCCCTGGGACGCACTGAGGCTGCCGGACACTGGCGCCACCGGGCCCTCGGCCCACCACCAGTAGGCAAACATGGGGTTAGTATCTTGCCCAAGGATATTTGGCATGCAGCCAGGAGGCAGCCTGGGATCAAACCACCGACCTTCTGATTAGTGGCTGACATGCTCTGCCACCTGAGCTACAGCCACTAATATGACATGAAAGAAGTTTCACGGC